ATCGAATTTTGATAAAAATTTTAAAATGACACTTATTTTGAAATGAATATAATGTAACTTATTATAAGTTACGTGTACCGCACGGGTTGTGTACTGATTTTAAATAGACATGTTTTATGTAATTGTGCACAATTTAAATTTCATATAATATTTTTAATAAATTAATATAGGTAATTTGTATTACCTATTGATTCCATACTTTTAATTTATAAATATTATTTTAATTTATAAATATTAATGAATATCTTTTACCCGTACATCGCACGGGATTCGTAGTAGTTAGTTTGATTAATTGTGCTTAATTGTTGATTCTGTCGCATGCTAAGGAGATATTTTAAGAAATTTGGTTTCTTTCATGGGATTATATCTATCAGAATCTGTGGAAAGAATTAAAAATAGAATAAGAAAAAAGGACATTCTATAGGTGTTGAATATTCTTCGGACTTTGACTTTTCATAACATATATGTTTGGACCAGAAAATTCAAATTACTTGACCAGATGCCTTCAATAGAGAGAAAGAGGGGGTTTTATAAAATAAATGATGAAAATCTTTGCAAATCGAATTACATATATTTTTTGGTTTTGAGATGTCATAATGACGAAACCATGAGAGCATCAACATCTTTGTATTAATCAGTTTATGAAATAAATTAATAAATAAAGGTTTATTACCGCTGGTTTTCAGGGGTTGATTTTATTCAGCATGAGTAAAAGCCATGAGCATTTGTTTTTAGTTTTTACCTAGCTATGACTAATTTACTATCATGGATATTTAAAGAATGCTTGCTGAGAATTACGAATGAATCTAATTCATCCTTTTAAATTATATTCAATCTAAAAAGTTTATTTGTTTGTTTTTCTTTTTCTTGTTTATCAGAGTTGCTGGGAAGGATTAGTCGTGACTCGTTACCGGCCTATCAATTTCCGATGCCCAACTATCGAATGGAGTTCCTATTGAAAAATAAAATCGAGGTTCGCTAATTAAAACTAGTTCTTCTTTTTAAAAGAAAAGAAAAACAAAAAACAAAATTAAGTAAATCTTATGAATTACAACTAGTACGTAACCCGTGCGATGCACGGGATGTAAAATTTAGAAGAATAATATATCCTCACGTGCATTAGGATCGAAATTGAAATCATTAAAATACATAGGAACATTGTTGAATCATAAAAAAGTTCGGTAACAATCATATATTATTAAAAACCTTCTTGTACACAACATTATGAGTTTGATTATTTGGTAACTCCTCATTATCACAAACTAATATTTTCAAAAGAGATAAATCCTAAAAATCAAACTAATATTTTTTGTTAACAAACTAATATTTTAGGATTGGTGAACAAACTAATATTTTAGGATTTCTAGGATTTGTCTCTTTTTGGTGAACAAACTAATATTTTAGGATTGGTTATATGAATAAGGCTACCTGTTTTTGGTGTTCTTTTCATTCATTTTCATTCAAACAATCCGATGACTTGTATAATGAAATCCGAATCTTAAGCCGAAATATTTAAAAAAGAGTTTTTAAAAATTGAAAAGTCAACGCAATCAGTTCAGATTAATTAAAAGTCAAAGAATATCCGCTCCTTGAAATAAAGACGTGTGTTATCATTAACCAAATATCCGGTTACTGATATAGAGTGGTCACAAAAAAATAAAATGCGATAATGGCGCTTCATGGAAATATCAATGGGATAAGGTCATAACAGATCGCTATACATTTTAACGATAAAAGCTCAGATGGAATGATTTATAATAATTATGTCGTAATTAATGAATTAATTAGATGTGTGAAAATGATATAATTAATGAGAAGTGTGAAAAAGACATAATTAATGAGAAGTGTGAAAAGGACAAAAACTTACCAGTTTTGGAAAATATTTAATGCAAATCCGACATTGACCATAATTTGACCTACTATTTTGGATAAATGTTAATTCTTATTATATAAGTATAGATGGGATGACAAAATTTTCACGCTTTTAACAGTTTCCAATTAAAAATAGTAATGATAATTTAACTAGGACTACACCAGGGGTCAGCATTGAGCCCTTATCTATTTGCCTTGGTGATGGATGATGTCACAAGGGACATACAAGGTGATATCCCTTGGTGTATGCTCTTTGCTGATGATGTGATGTTAGTTGACGAGAGTAGAGCAGGGGTAAATAGGAAGTTGGAGCTGTGGAAGGACGCGTTAGAGTCGAAAGGCTTCAGACTTAGTAGGACGAAGACCGAGTACATGACGTGCGCTTTCAGCATGGCTTCACATGATGATGGTGACGTTACCCTTGACGGGCAAGTGGTGGCCAAGAAGGAGACTTTCCGGTATTTGGGATCGATGCTACAAAAGGATGGCGGCATTGATGCTGATGTTAGGCATAGAGGTTGGTTGAAATGGCGTCAGGCGTCAGGCGTTCGGCGTTCTCTGTGATAAGAGGGTGCCACAAAGGCTAAAAGGTAAGTTCTATAGGACGGCGATTCGCCCGGCGATGCTATACGGTGCTGAATGTTGGCCTACAAAAAGGCAACATGTGCAACAACTAAGTGTAGCAGAGATGCGCATGTTGCGTTGGTTCTATGGGCACACAAGAAGGGATAAAATTCGGAATGAGGATATTCGAGATAGGGTCGGGGTGGCCCCAATTGAGGAGAAATTGGTTCAACATCGGCTGAGGTGGTTCGAACATGTCCAACGGAGGCCTCCTGATGCGCCGGTGCGTAGGGGAGTTCTACAGCGGGTCGAGGATGTTAAGAGAGGTAGAGGTCGGCCTAAACTCACTTGGGAAGATTCGGTTAAGAGAGACCTTAAAGATTAGAATATCTTCAAGGATTTAGTGGTGGATAGGAGCGCTTGGAGGCTCGCTATCAACGTGCCAGAACCATGACTTTTGCTCCTTTTTCTCTCTCTCTCTCTTTTTTTTTCCAATCTCTTCCTTTCGGTTCGAGTCTTTTGTGTTTCTCTTGGGTTTCATCTCTAGCCTACCCCGACTTGCTTGGGACTAAAGGCTATGTTGTTGTTGTAATGATAATTTAACATGACCTTCTGTAGCGTAAGCTGAGAGAGAGACTTGTCAATCATTTATTAGGATTCTCTTTTCTTGTATGTTTGAAACCGTTTTGTGAACATATATACAGTCCTTGTGCCACACTGATCATCAAGTTCGATGAATTAATTTCATATGTTATGTTGACTAGTACAGTACCCGTGCGATGCACGGGGCTTTATTATTTCCGTCATTTTTAAAAGGCAATTTTGTATTTAAATTTAAATTATACAATAAAGCACTGATCATTGATTATAATTAAACCTAACAAATACTTATTATAAGATACGTGTAATTATTTATATTAATTATGTTGGGCTTGTACAATAGGAATGTTTTTGAAAAATGTGAGTTTCAAAAAGTTCATATCGGTCCAATTTACAATGTTGGCTTTGAAAGTTCATATTGGCCCAAAAAAAAAAAAATAATCCAATGATCCATATTAGTCAACGCAAATCGACGGTTTAGATTACACTGAACATAGTATAAATAGTGAATTATCGGACCAAAGGCTTCATTTCTTCCTTCATATTTCGCTGCTTCCAGTTTCTTTATTCGTCTTTTTTCATCGATCTTCTTCCAGCTTTCCGTTCTAACACTGAGGATCTTATAAATACATATCTTTTTTAGTTTTCATTTAATCGATGTTTTAAATTAGTTTTAGGTGTTTTGCACGAAACAAAATATGGATTGTTCAATTTGAGGGTTTTCATTTTCAATTTTTGTAGTTTTATGTTTGAATTTTTTGGTTTTTTCAATTAATCAAAAGAATCCTTCGAATCTGAGTGTGCGCCGGTAGATTTTGTTAATTTTAGTTGTTTAGCCCGAAAAAGAAATGTGGAGTTTTTAATTTTAAGGTTTTTATGTTCGATTTTTGTACTTTTATGTTTGGATTTTTTGGGTGTTTACGATTAGTCAAAAGAACTCTTAGAATTTGAGTGTGTGTCGATAGATTTGTTATTTTTTTATCGGCAAAATCATGTTTTTACACAAAATTTTTTGGCGTCCAAATGATTTTTTTCTTTTAAAACTCATCTCGGCTACACAAATCTGACAATTAATTATGTGTTATCATTGATTTTGATGAATTTTACACAATTATTATGGGTTAAGAACTTGCAAGTTTTTTTGCCCAAATAATGAATGTTAATATCAATTAATTTTAAAAAGGATTGGTATTGAAATAAAACTCAAATTTTTAAAAGCATTATTTGTACCAAAATTGAGCAATTTGGTTATCAAAACTAACTATCCGTGATTGATAAAATAAAACTTGTCCGAAATAGTATGCAATTAATATTGTCAGATTTTTTTGCTTACTAATTTTGATAAATAGTAATTCTTATTATATATATATAGATTTGACAAATGTACCTTCCCATTTATTTCCTTGCAATCCCATTTATTTTTTATTATTTAATTTATTTAATTACATAGTTGACCGACGAAACTTAGGGATTTGAGTCCGTTAACAAAAAACGTACAATAGTAAGTTGTGGGAACATGCTAAAAGGCTTCAATTTTCTAATGATGCAGAAATGGTGATGTGGGACAGTCCAACCTTACTTTTATATTTTTATAAATATTATATTTGAATATGAAAATATACATGCTCATGTCTACTAAAGGTAACCCCTTTGGTGTAACCATTCTAATTTTAGATATAAAAAAAATTCATTTACAGTTTGAGGTACAATTAGTTGATTGTCTTGTTTAAATATAAAATTATATTTCTCCATTTATAACAAAAATCAAGAGCATCAACATCAAAGCAGCTCCTCATTATTTCAATGAGAAATCTTTACCAAAAACATTACACAGATTCTATAATCTATCCTAATCCCACTATAATTATAAAGAAAGAAAAAAGCAAAGGGAGGAAAATGGGAAAATTTAAAACAAAATAATCTCTCCCATGCATAGCCTCCACACAACCTAATTTGTTGCTTAATTACACATATTTTTCCCCATATCCAGCATTTCTCAGCAGTGCCTGCCTTATGTCCTCTGTGTCCAGCATTGCCCTTTTCTTAAATTCCTGCAATACATATAACACAACACAATTATTTTATTGCACACCCAAAAAAACTAATAAATAAATAAAAATAAAAACAAACAGTAAATTAAAAATTATCAAATTAATTAATTAATGCTAACCTCAGAGCAAGAAGCCTGGAGTGAGAATTCATTAAAACAGCTAATAACACACTGCTGAATTTCAAGGCCCAATGCTTCTAATGTGGTGACTGTTGATAGCAACAACCCAGGCTTCCCTCCACAGCATATCTCCATTCTTGTGTCTGAATTTCTCCTTTCCACATCGAACTGCACAAATCAAAACTAGTAATTAGATAAATTTGAAATAACTATACTAAAATGCAAAAATCGTGATATTTTTTTCATTCATAATTAGTAATAAAAAGAATTTATACATACCTTGGGTGAATTTCTAACCACAATCTCATTAGGCTTGACATCATTGAAAATGGACATTGAGCTCAATTGATTTGACCCCAAATGCATCTCTCTTTGCAGGCCATTGATTCTCTCAATCAGCTCCTTCATGTAATCTATGGTGTCCCCCAGTATTGATGTTCTATCCATCTGTCCAATCAATTGAAATTAATATTAAATTATGAAAAAAAGAATCACTATGAAATTAAATGGTATTTTTTTCCCCTTTATAAAACAAAAGGGGTTAGGTAAATAAATAAATAATTAATTTACCTTGCTAATTTTGGGAACAACAGATCGGAGCATGGAGAGGCGGTCGTTGAGGCGCTTCCTCCGGCGGCGCTCGGCCATGAGATTCTTGGACGGCTGGCCGCTGATTTTCTTCGTCTTCCCCGCGCTCTTTATCTGGGCCGGGCCGAAATCAACGTTGAAGCCCGAGGGCTGGGGCTCCGCCTTGCACGGGCCCCCTATCTCCATATTCTGAATCCCGGAGTACAGGCCCGGTCCGCCGCTGAAGGCGTGGCTGCCGTTGAAATTCCGGCTGCCGGAAGAGTCCGCAGTGAAATCCGGTGGGGAGAGCTCCTCGCCGTAGGACGAGCAAGTGAAGCTCTTGTTATTATGGCTATTGTTGTTACTGAGATTTTGGGCGAGGTAATAATTAGGGTTGTAGCTGTTTTCGAAACATGAGGAGTTGGAATTTGGGACAAAATTGGCATAATTGCTGTTCAGACAGCCATTAATGGCGTTGATGTAAGATAAATCTATCTCCCTAACACTCATAAGCTCTTCCAAGAAAGCCTGCTCATTTGTGTAATAACTCTCCATCTTACTCTCCCCTTTTTACACACACAATGGGCTTTTTTCAGCAGGTTTGTATTTGGGAGGCAAAAAAGGAGTACTCTGTTTTTATGTGTAAGTGATTAACGAATAGAAAAGCTATTTTATGTGTGGTATTATATATAGGTGGGGTTTGGAGGAAACAATTAACCCTAGTTGACTAATTAATTATAGTGTGATATTTTTTAATTTGTTTGTTTATTATTTTTGCCTCATAACATAGCACTTTGTATTAATGTAATTGTTATTGTAGCACATTGTCTGTAAATAAAATAACTTCCACCAGAGCATCAGCGAGATGTCACATTCACGTCTACTAATAATGTGTTTAAGAGCAAATATTCGAGGGGTTCCAATAGGATACTTTGCACATTCACTCATAAAATATAACATAAAATTATTTATATAAATTTTACTTATAAAAATTAATATGTTAAATAAATTTTTTATCATGGTATGTGTGACATTATATAATTGGATCATTAATTCATTTAAAAAAGAGTATATATAGTTCGTTAAAAGTTATCAACGTGAAAAGAATAAAAATAAAGCAAAATTACACCTATCACGACCTTTCACGAATTTGCATTTTAATCATGATCATTCAACTCTTGTAAATTATATCAACACCCTCACATTTTCGCAAATCGGTTAAAGAATTTGGGAAACCTATCACGGAAAGGTTGATGTGCCTTGTAGAATTTTCATGTAGTTGCTGATGTGTACGGGCAACACGATTTTTTCTCACTTTAGAACAAAACTATGTCGTTTCTTTTCCAATCTATAAATAATTAAACTCCAAAAATAAAAACTCTGTACCTAGCCTAGCCTTTCTTCCACAACCATTATATTTCCAAAATTGAGTTCATACCCCAAACCGAGAGTCGTGGACCACTCAAATATGTCTGGTCGTGCCGCTCAGCCTCTCGTCAGAATCCTTAGGTGGTTAGCCCTATGAGTTGAAGCCTTTGGTACCCCAATCACTGCCGTTTTTTCGAGGATGCCGCTTGAAGTAGAGTCCTGAATCATCTAATTCAATCTCATCCAAAATTACTAAACCAGTCGAGCTTTGATTTTCCCGTTGTCAAGGTGAACTACTTCAACGTTCGCCGCCCGTTACCGAGCCACAAGCAGCAGTCCACACCTGACCCACGAGCCGCCACCTTCGTTTGTCTCTGAGTGGCAGTCCGTTATGCCGATCTCCGCCGCGGATAAGATGGCGCCTACACTGGGCTCTAGACTTTTTTCTTGAAAGATTTTAATTATCTCTCGTTAGTGTTGTCCAGAGCGTAAATGATTTTCAAGTTTTTTTTTTCCCTTTTTGGAATTTAATTATGATTGGGAAAAGAACTATGTCGTTTTGTTCTGAAGTGGGAAATAAAATAAGAAGGCCCGTACACATCATCAACTATGTGGAAATTCTACGGACACATCAGCCATTTAGTGACAGGTTTTCCAAATCGTGAACCAATTTGCAACAAAATGAAAGGTTGTCATTAAAATGCGAATTCGCCAAAGGCCAAGAAGAAGATGAAGAAGGCCATGGTATTAGGTGTAATTCGCCAAACGCCATGGTACCCGTTCATACTATTCCAGCTGCCCAGAATGCCCAACTACCCAATTCGGTTATGCCATGTGGTCATCTCCACGTGGCGGTTTGATCCCTTGAATTTTCATTCCTATCCTTTATTATTCTTCATTAGACGGTATAACCATGAGTCTGCAGTCACATCCACTTGGTCGAAGGATCAACCAGGTGCTCTCTCCGTTCAAGCTTCACCAGGCTCCCAGGGACTCTCTATTCGACATGTTGGCTACATTCACATCATTGATGCCCTTTTCGACCTGAAGGCTCTTCAATCTGTGCAATCGTCCTCCTTCGTTCAACTTGATGATCGCCTGGGTTTAGTTTGGATATCCCTTCGGTCTAGTCAACCTGGTGTGGTTATCCCATATCATCTGGTCCCCCAATTCTGGTTGAGTCAGGATGACTCAATCTAAGAGTGAATTCAATCGCCCCTCATTTTTTTTTTTTTTGGTATTTTCGACCTCCTTTTAGCTTTTGAGTTTTTGCCACACCTTTACTTTCTTTTGCCGGGCTTTTCCCTTTTTTGAATTTTTAATTTTCAATCCTCATCATGTGTTTGCACCAGATGCCATGAGTCTGCAACCGTCATGCAAAACCATTGCGTCGCCACGTGCCAGGGTCGGCCCAAATGTTCTGTCGCCTAGCACTCCACAGTCTGTACGGGCTTTGCGCAACGCACTCCATTCAATGCCCCACTAATCTCGTCTATTCCTTTTCATTTTATTTTAACGGTCAGATTTGACCTGTCCCTTCCCCTACTGCCTTCAATATGAGCTGCTGATCCGACTCGTATCCTGCTGTCAGAACTCCTAGATCTCTTTATCTTCCCTCTCCCTTCACCAATAAAATGTTGTTTTGATCGACTTTGCAAGGTTTCTTACTTCTGCAAAAAATTATCCTATAGTAAATTCTTGCCTTCTCCCTGCGTTCGACAAGAGTCCGACTGTGTCTAAGGCTTCTGCCGCCCGAATCACCGCCGTCTACCATAATTTCTACTCCTTCGTTTTCAATCGACAATCATGCATAAATTTCCTTCTTTCACCATCCTTACTTGTTTTTGTATGCACTATTTGTTTTCCCGTTTTCCTCTTCAAATTCTCCTTTTCATCCTGCCGTAAATACTCTGTCAATCCTCCTTCATCCGCCGCTCTTTTCCACTCATTGAATCCTATTCTCTTTTGTTTTATTTTTGTTTCTTTTCAGATTCTGCAACTTCCAGTGAGGGTGACCACCATTCTGGCAGTGATATGAGTGTTAATGTTATATACTGAAAGCTTGACTTTTCATGTTATTACACTTTTGCCCTTTATGAATGAGAATCATGTTAGATTAAACAAGTTCTACGATCTGTTGTTTTGCACTTAGATAGAGTGGGTCGTCATCGGGCGAACTGAAGATCGCTCTATCAGTTACTTGTGAAACAAGAATAGCGATTCACAACCTAGATGGAAATGAAAAACCCATCCAAACGGTTGTAATGTCAAGTGTACGGTTTTGTCTTGACTGATTAGTTGCACTAGTATATTTATGTAATGAACAGGATCTCAGAGAGGAGAAGTTCGTTTTATACTGATCATCGTAAACGAACTAGGCCTCTGTTAATTACTACGTTCTCTTAACCCGTAAGATATTAAACAGACATATATGTAGTATATATTACTGTGATTCACTTGGGTGAGGTTTAGTTCGCTGGATTAATATTCCTACTGTTTTGGGTAATATTACTATATATAGTATGTGTTGTTAGGATATGTACGGTCATCATGTGCGTTAGATTGATGTTGTCCCCTGATATAACCATATAAAGCTATACGGCCCAAAGACTCCTTACTCGACCGGATAGCAACTCAGACCATCCACATGTCGATATGTTCCCGTCGACATACTCAAGTCGACTTCCGCAAAGTCGACTCTTCATAGAATGCGGGAGAGGGCAGAACCTATATAAGTCGACTCCTAGAAGTCGACTTGGAAGAGTCGATTCTCCAATAGTCGACATCCACCTAAGAAGAGCAACAATAGCGTGGCCTCTGAATATGCAGAACATCCAAAGTCGACCGCCTGGCACTCGAGGTCGACTCCTTGCGTCTCGAGGCGCGAAACACACTAGCGACTCGATACACTTATGATATCTCTTGAAGTCTTCTATCCTCCAATGGATAAGAAAGAATCTTGTCCTGACTCAGCAGTAGGGGGAGAAGAATCGACCATGGCAATTTGGACCTTTCAGGTAATCCGACCGGGGTATTTTGGGTACTTCAAGTAAGTGTTTTCTTCTATATAAAGGAGGTGAGGTAACCCTAAATCGTAACTTCCATTCATTCACACTCTCCTCTATAGTTGCTCCTGCTCTCTCAGAGCAGCCTCTCTTCATCTCTTTCACATACTGACTTGAGCGTCGGAGGCTCTACGCCGGGAACACTTCCGGCGTTGAGTTCTTGCAGGTGTTTACGGCGGTCTAGCAACGGTTCGAAGGCGATCCAAGCAGATCTGAGCTCGAAACCATCAATTTTCTTCTGATCCAGAATTAGACCCATTATTTTGGCGCCGTCTGTGGGGAGTTCTTGAAGGAATTAAGAGCTTTGTACCTAGCTCTGATCTGCTTCTGATGGCTGAGAAGGAAGGTTTGCAGAGGAACTTGAATGAGGAGTATAGGGGAGCTTGGACAGACAAGAGACCACCACCACTCTCTACCCCTAGACCTCCAGTGATGCAGATGCTGGGATTACCACCATTTGGAGGACTTCCGCCGCCGGGGATGAATCATGGTGGAGAAACACCCATTACTCCACCCGGAGTGAAGATGCAAGTGTTGACCCAAGTAGGAGCAAGTCAAACATTAACCCTAATTCAGGTGTTGGAGAGAAGGAGCCAACAGAGATGTCTCGACGTGAGGGAAAGTAAATTCAGGAGGTGCAGGAGCAGACGCAAACACAACCCCGCGTCGAGGAGCAAACACAGACAATGACGAGGAGCGAGATGCAAAAGATGATCGCTGAAGCTGTGGCTGCCCAGATGAAACAAGCGGTGCAAGTCGAGCAGAACCTGCGGGTCGAGCAACAGCCTCGTGTCGAACAGCAGGCTCAGTCGAACGTGTAGCAAAACATAAGGGCGGACAAGAAGAAGTCTTCCATTCAAACTATCAACCCACAAGCGAGAGATGAGACATTAGAACAATTGATGGTCCTGGTCCGCGACTTGCAGGCACGAGTTGGAGGCAAGAAGAGCAGAGGCGCAAGTGAACACCCATTCTCCCAACACATTTTGAGAGCTGACTTGCCACAGGGTTTCAGGGAATTAAACATATGGTATGACGGCTTGACTGACCCATCTCGACATCTAAAAATTTTGAGAACATAGCAGTGCTTCACCGCTATAGCGACTCTGTGCAATGCCGCGC